AGAGATTTTCCTGACTATGGAAGGAGCAAAAGAATGGTCTGATTCAAGAAAGAAAGTTAAGCTTGCTTCACATCACTGTTCTTAAGGCACAAAGAGATTTGGTGGGAGGTGGGGGGAAATCTCTTGAGGCAGAGTAAGTCATACAAATATAAACTAGTATAGTGTGGAATATAATGCATAATAGTTGGCAGCAGAACGCACTATTTATTTTCATGAATTACGGACTGAGGACTTAATTCACAAGCAGCAGAGTGATGTACAAATATTATGAGTATGAGCTTAACATGGGGCCAAATCCTACAGTCTTCACACAGTCTTGTTGAGTCGTATCTCCTGTTGATCATCCCTAAATTAGTCCTGCAGGATTGGCTCATAATATATTACAGTCATCAGGTTATAAATGTTTCATTTTCATAAACAAAAGAGAATTTATGCTGACTTTATGCCATTTTGTGTGAATTTGGTATTTTGAATGGAAAATTGATCTTTAAACTGTGTAAGACTTTTAGGTCACTCCAGAGAGCATTCTTATTTCTAGCAATCAATTAGTATTTAAAGATCATATATCCAAAAAATGGTTTTGGTTGCGGTTTTTTTATGTTTCTTTCTTTTTGTTTGTTTGTTTGTTTGTATGGTTTGGCATGGGTATTTTTTTGTTTGGTTGGTTTTGTTTGTGTGTGTGTGTTTGTTTTGTTTTGTTAAAAAAATAATACAATAGATTTTAATAAGAATTTTCAATAGGGTTATCCTACTGTTTATGTCCCCATGTGGCTACGAAAACATGTGTCAATATTAGTTTACAATGATTACCATGGATTGTTTTATACAGATAAATAACAAAAGGCAAGGTGCTATAAAGGTCACATATTTCTTTGTGATTCTTTGCTATTTGAATGACTACATTCAGTCAAATATTCAGAAGAAGGAAACATTTATATGCCAAGATGACTATGGTATCAAAAATGTGTGCATATTAATATCCTTACTGCAGATTTTCTGATTGCAAACATACCACTGATACTTATAAAATTAAGCATGAGTCAACATGGAACATATAATGTCAATCAAATAGCATAGCTACACTGCTTATCTGTAGAGCATCCTATCAGGATAATCAGGGGAAGTATGTGAGAAAATAATATAGTAATGATCAAGTTTACTCCCCTGAAGTATAGCAGATATCGCATTACATATCTTTCAAAAGTTGGTATAAACTTGTTTCTGAAAAGAGTTACAGCAGTAATGAGAGCTCATTTAAGCTGGCTGCAGAAAAAGATTCAGTACATGCTGTACCTGCTTTCTCTGCATGCGTGAAACTGAACAATATATTTGCTTTTCTGGAGGTTTTTGTTGGTTTTGTTTGTTGCTTGGGGTTTTTTTTAGGAAGAAAATTCCAGGAACATTACAGCATGATACAGTTTGAATTAAAGAAGGGAGAAACAGCTCCTTTCTAAATCCCAAGCAGCTAAATCACTATTCGCAGGTCATTGCCCTCCAAGTTTAGAAAAGGATGCCAACAACAGCATCTTGGTTCTACCTGCAGCAACTCACAGTACCAAGTCTCCACGCCTGCAGTATTTTAGAGAGGCTTACGTGACTTGTTCAAAACAAACTCTCTCCAACTACGATCTGGAAAGATTAAAAACATACCCACCCGCATAGATACACCCAGAAACAATATCAGCTAGCAGCGATACAGAGTTGCAGGAAAGAAATGGCATTACCAGGACCAGGGCAGCTAGGAGCAGGGTCCAGCGGCAGTGCCCCATGGTCGGTCCCTGCAGGACCTGCGGTCCAACGCTGCACAGGCTGCGAGGCGCTGGGCTGCCTGCTGTCACATCCAGCGCTGCCGGGGCTGACCCTCAGCCCTGCCTCTCTGTCTCCATCAGACCAACGCCGCTCACATTCCCGACCCAGCCCTGGGTGGGTTGGGGTGAGCTGCGGGGAAGCTCCCGGTGCCGGATCAGCCAATCCCCCTCCTGCTATTCAGACATGCAGCACAACAAAGCCGAGGGATCTGGGGAAAGCTAAAGACAGGGGGGAAGGAAAAAGAGAGAGGCAGAGGAGGAGTAGGAGGAGAAGGAGGAGGAGAGAGGCAGAATGGCACAGCTGAATGCAGTGCTCTGCCTTCAGCCCCTGGAGTTAGGCTTCAGCACTTGCCATGAGTCCTTCGTGCTTCTTGCTAGGTCAGTAGCTGTCCTCCTGAGCTTGCATTGTTCCAGACAGGAGGGAAACTTAATCCGTGTCAATACAAAACTTATGGCATAAAAGGCACCAATTGGAAAATGCTGAAATCCTCCCGGGAGGATTTTATTAAAGACTTGTATTCTTTACAGAAAAGTGCTTTTA